AGTTGGGGTTTAGTCCACTTTTGTATCCTTCTCTTCAAGGCTTAGGGGTCCAAGATTATCTTCTGTGTCTGTGTTAATTGGTTTCCCTTTTCTTTGCTGAAGAGGGTCTGTGCAGTCCTTCTGCCTAGTCCACCATATTACCGGAAGCCCGTCCTCCTTTGGTTTTTAACTCCAGGTTTTTGCACATTTCATTATAATAATTGAGTTTGTCTTCTTGAGCTGCTCTTTGAAATCTTCTGCTCAGCTCTTTAATCTTGTCATTTCTTGCATTTGCTTAAGCTACTTTCTGTTCAAGGGCAAGTTTCAGAGTCTCTTCTGACATTCATTTTGGCCTTTTCTTCCTTTCCTGTCTTTTTAATGACCTTTTGCTTTCTTCAAGCTCTTGTACCACAGTGACTAAGGCATCTGACTGCTAACTAGAATATTGCTGGTTCAAACCCATCAGCCACTTTGCAGAAGGAAGACTGGGCAATCTACTTCCATAAAGATTTACAGCTTTGGAAATCCAATGGAAGTAACCATGAGTCTGAACCGACTCAATGGCAGAGGGTTTGGTTTTTGCTTTGTTGCTTTCTTCATGGATGACATTGTTGGCTTCTAGCCAAACAATAGACAGGCACATAGGGTGAACATTTACATCAGGTAGATACACTCCTTAGAGCAATCAATCAGGGGAGAATAGAAGGGCAATGTTTTCACAGGGCAATAACTTGGGGGTGCATGAATGCATAGGAAAGAAGGACACAGGGAAGAGGTAACTACAGGGAGGAAGTGGAAGAGAACTATTACATTGTGGGGAATTGCAGTCAATGTCATAAAACAAAATGTGTATGAACTGCTGTATGGGAAATGAATTTGCTCTGTAAACTTTCACCCAATCACAATAAAATTTGGGAAAAAGAAAAAAAGAATATGAGAGAGGTCATGTTGGGGGCATAGATCAAACAAGAATGGCCATGAATAGATAGTTGTCGAACCTGGATGATAGGTAGGTGGATCCTATACTTTGTATATGTTAGAAAATTTCCATAATAAAAGAGTAAAAAGAAAAAGAGTCAAGTCTTCAGAATGACTCTGAAGTTAACAAATACACATTCATGAAGCTAACACTTTCCCAGAACTGCCCTTTTGCCAGGCCCTGAGGAATAAGGAAGATAAATTGGGGTAGTCTTCACCCTCAGGGATAAATCAGTGGAGGGCAGCCAAATAAGCATTATCTATAGGCCAGTGTGGTATATGATTAAAGGCACAGGCTTAAAAAAAAGACGGTGAGTACCAGGTTTGCTGGTCCAATAGAGCCTGGTGGAACCACTGAGACTATGGCCCCTAGCTGCCCTTCAGGTCTGGAATTGAACCCACACCTGTGGTTTCCAGCCAAACAATGTACAGGCATGTGAGTTAAACATTTAACTCAAGTAGACACATGCCCTGGAAAGAACAATCATGGGAGAAGGAAGGGCTGCTTATGCACAGGGAGACAGCTTGGGGGGCAGGAGAGTATGGAGGGATGGTCACTGGGAAGAGGTAACTATGGGGAGGAAGTGGGAAGGGAGCTGTTGCATTGTGGTAAACTGTGGTCAATGACATGAGACAAAGTATATGTGAACTGCTGTATGGAAAGTGAATTTGCTCTGTAAATCTTCACCCAAATCACAATATAAATAAATAAATAAATAAATAAAATAAAGGCACAGGCTTTAGCATCAGACAGAACTGGGCTTGAGTTTCAGTTCTGTCACTCATCAGGAAGTCACTTGACGCCTCTGAGTTTCAGTTGCCTCATCTGGAAAATGTAGGGGGAGGCAGGATACATTCGAGACATTGCCTAACTGGAGTCCTGAGTGGACAAAAAGAGGTAATCCATAAAAACTCCCTCAAACTCACTGCCACCAAGTTGATTCTGACTCACAGCAATGCCACTGGGTTTCAAGGCTGTAAATCTTTATGGAAGCGTATTGCCTCATCTTTTTTTCCACAGAGACATAGTGGGTTTGAAGCACCCACTTTTGGTTAGCCACCAAATGCCTTAACCACTACATCAGAACTCCTTTTAATGAATAGTATTATTAATGAAAACAAAAAGTCTTACAGGCAGTGTGCTTTGGATTCCAGAGGAAAGGAATGATCCGCTTTGAGTCTCTCTTTACTAGGAAGTTCCCTGAGCTTGCTCCAGGCTGCTCTGTTGGAGGCCTGAAGAAGTAGGATGGAGGTATAACATGAGGCTCATCCTGAGGGATGCAGTAGAGGAGGCCCTAACCCACCAGGCTGGCCTGAAGACCCTACAGAAGTCCAAATTCAGAGTGCTGGCTTTAGGGAAGGGACTAGACTAGAAATCTAAGTTCAGAGTGCCAGCTCTAAGGGCTTGGTAGAGGCTGCTCAACCTTGAGCTTTAGCTCTGCCTTCCAGGCCCACTGGAGCAAGCTGGAGGGTTCTCCTGATTCACGCAGCTGCTGGCTGCTGAGGCTGACTAATCAAGGTAAAATGACAGATTGCTGGCTTATAGGCTATGAAGACAATAATTCCAAGATCAGCAGGAAACATGGCAGGCCACTGGTTCAAATCCAGGAACTGGAGATGATGAATCATGAACCAAATGCAGGATTCTTTCCATATATCCTGGAAGCAGGCCACACCCTGAAGACAACTCCCCTTTAGCTGATTAACTGCTCATAGCAGATTCCACCATGGAAGTGATTACACCACATCCAATCTCACCATGGGAGTAACTACATCCATCTGCCAAGCCACTGAAATGCACAGCCCAGCCCAATTGACACACACTGTGATAGCTGGAGTTGTGTGTCAACTGGGCTGGACCACAATTCTGAGTGGTTTAAGCAGTTGTGATGTAGGTTATTCCCATGATGAGATTGGATGTATATGTTTTCAACAGCCAATCTGTTGAAAGGGAGTTTCCCTAGGGATGTGGCCTGCTTCCAATATATTTATAGACATCCTGGGAAAAAGAGCCACTCTTCTGTGGATCAGGATCCTGTTTGTGCTGTCTACAACTGTCCCTGAGTGAACAATCCACCATTTGGCCTGGAGATCTTGGATTTGTTATTCATTGGAGTCAATAGCCGGTATACCACCTGCCAACCTTGAGCTCATCAGCCCCTGCAGCTGCATGAGTCGGGAAAAGCCTCCAGCTTTGACATTTGATCAAAGAACTTGGGACTTGCCTACTTCTAAAAATGTGTGAACAATTTTCCTAAAATAATTTTTTTTTCTCTATATATAAGCTTTACTGGTTTTGCTGGGAGCGCTAGAGGCGTAGTACCTAAGGCATTTGACTGCTAACCAGAAGGCTTGTGGTTCCAACCCACCAGATACTCCCTAGAAGGAAGGTTGGGCACTCTGCTTCCATAGTGATACCACCTCAGAAACCCAAGGAGGGGTCACTATGAGTTAGCTCCCACTCGATGGCAGTGCATTGCATTGCATTTGCATTACTAGTTTTGCTTCTCTAGAGAACCCAGCCTAACACACACCCTAAAATTAAAAAATGTTTGTTCACCAAAGAACACTATCAAGAAAGTGTAGAGACAACCTACAGAATGAGAGAAAATACAAAATATTTGAAAATCATATGTATAATAAAGATATAATATCCAAATATATAAAGAACTCTTAAATTCAATAACAAAAAGACAAATCACACAGTTTAGAAATAGGCAAAGAAGTTGAAATAGTCAATAATCAAATGGAAAGATATTCATCACCATTAGTTATTATGGAAATGCAAATCAAAACCACCATGAAATACCACCTCATGGCTACTAGGATGGATAATGAAAAATAATAAAAATAACAAGTGTTGATGAGGATGTGGCAAAATTAGAACCTCATACACTGTTGGTGGAAATGTAAACTGGTACAACCACGGTGGAAAACAATTACAGGGTTCCTCAAAAAGCAGAATTACCATATAGAATCACTACATTGTTGTTGTTAGGTGCCGTCAAGTCAGCTCCAACTTGTAGTGACCCTATGGACAACGGAATGAAACACTGCCCAGTTGTGCACCATCCTCATAATTCTTACTATACTTGAACCCATCATTATAGCTACTGGGTCAATTCATCTTGCTGAGGGTCTCCCCCCCCCCCTTTTTTTTATTTTGCTGACCCTCTACTTTACCAAGCATGATATCCTTCTCCAGGGAAAGGTCCCTTCTGACAACATGACAAAGGTAGGTGTGATGAAGTCTGTCCATTTGCACTTCCAAGGAGCATTCTGGCTACATTTTTTCCAGGACAGATTTGTTCGTTCTTCTGGTAGTTCATGGTAACTCAGTATTCTTCGCCAACACCACAATTTAAAGGCATTGATTCTTCTGTGGGTCTTCCTTATACATTGTTCAGCTTTCATATGTATCTAAGGCAACTGAAAAATACCATGGCTTCTGTCAAGTGCACCTTAGTCTTCAAAGTGACATCTTTGCTCTTCATCACTTTAAAGAAGTCTTTTGCAGCAGATTGCCCAATGCAATACGACATCTGATTTCCTGACTGCTGCTTCATGGATGTTGACTGTCAATCCAAGTAAAATGAAATAGAATTACTATAAGACCCAGCAATTCCACTCCTAAATATACATCCAAATGAACTGAAAACAGATATTCAAACTAATACTTGTACGTGAATGCTCATAGCAGCACTATTCAAAATAGCCAAATCTTGGAAACAATCTAAATGTCCATCAACTGATGAATGGATAAATAAAATGGGTATATACATACAATGGGATATTAATCAGCCATAAAATGGAATATAGTACAGATACATGCTACAACATGGATGAACCTCAAAAACATTATGATAAGTTTGAAGAGACAGATATAGGAGTAGATGCTGGGGTCTTAAAAGCTTGTGAGCAGCCATCTAAGGTGTCTCTCCCCATCTGGAGCAAAGAAGAGTAAAGAAAATCAAAGACACAGGAAATAATTAGACCAAAGGAATAATGGAGCACATGAAGCTAGCTCTCACTGCTGACTTCTCTGAAAGGGATCACAATAAGTGGTTCTGAATAGAGTGGTGGCAAATGTGAAACAAAACTCAAAATCATAAAAAGGACAAGGCTTACTGCTGTGATGAAGACTAGCAGAACCCCCAAGACTATGGTCCTTAGACACCCTTCAAACTAGGAACTGAACTTAACCCCTGTAATTCAATAGGCAGCCAAATGATAGATAGGCCTATAAGGGGAATAGTAATATCAGGAAGGTATGTACCCATTAGAAAAATCAAGTATATGAGATCAAGAGGACGGCATTTGCCCAGGGATAGAGCTAGGAAGGCAAGAGGGGATGGGAAGGAAGGATAAAGGCCAGGGAAGAAGTGGGAAGAATGCTGTTACCGTGCAGGGATTGCAGTAAATGTGAATGCGTTGTTAAATGGAAAACCAACTTGGTCTGTAAACTTTTAGCCAAATCACAAAAAAGAAAGTGGGGAAAGACTTCCAATGGACAAAAATGTTTAGTGGGCTACAAAGATTTCTTATAATGTATAGTTTTCAGAACAGGTTATAAAAATGTGTAGGTTTGTTTTGGTTATCTAGTGCCAATCTAACAGAAATACCACAAGTGGATGGTTTGAACAAACAGGGATTTATTGTCTTACCGTTTAGAAGGCAAAAAGTCTGAGTTCAAAGTGTCACCTCTAGGGGCTGGGTGAAGGCCCCTTGACCTTGGCCTTCAGCTCTGCCTCTTGCTCCCAGCCCACTGGAGCTGGTGGCTGGTGAGGCTGACAAACACAAGGTCAACAAGTAAAACGGCACAGTCCCAAGATTAGTAGACAACATGGTGGGCACTGGTTCAAGTCTGAACTCGAACTTGGGAATAATCCCAAGAGCAGCAGACAACATGGCAGGCTGCTGAATGAAGACTTGGCTACATGCAGGGTTCAAGCGTGCCATAAGCTAGAGACCATTCCCCAAGGCTTCTCCTTATATACAGGAAGCAGACCACATCCTTAAGACAGCTACTCAGCTGCTCACAGTAGATTTCACCAGGGAGTTGATTACTAGTCTCATCACGGGGAATACTACTCCCAAACAAGTTGACTAATTACCTTAACTACCACAAGGTTGATACAAAATATTCTTTGGAGGGAACTGGTAATATGAATTAACACTAAGTTTCTTTATAGAAACTGCTTGCTCAAGAGAAACTTTTTGGGTTACCTGGAAAACATAGATAAGAAATTGTCCAAGGTTTTTTCTTGAGTCTTTGCTTCTATATCCTTATCATGAAAGAAATTAAGGCCATTTTACACTAATGTGTCTATGTTAAAATGCCTTCCTTTTGGTGGTGTATTTTTTCCACGTTCTGGCTTGACTGCAGAGAAAACATTCCCTTAGTTATTTATGGTTGTTTAACCACATAAGGAGCTCAAAGACAGGCATTTGTGAAAAGTCTTATCTTATTTTGCTGAAAGCAGCATCAACCTGGGTTTAATTCAGGCATTTTACTTTGATGAAAGGTTTTGAAAAACTTTTTATACTACTTAAGGAACAAATAAGGAAAAAGAATAAACAGCACAGGAGTTGTTTTTCAGACAAACTTTCTTCTCTTGAACCCAATTCTACCCCTTTGGAGTCAATAAATTTGGAATCTCCTGGAAAAGACAGCCTGTTAAATATCTGAGGATGATCAGGGGATTGGAACTGGGTGGCTGTGGACCATAGTAAACAAGACAAGGGAAAACTGGTGGAGGAGTACCCTTCCCTGGCTGAGGTCACTTGAGAAAGGACCAGACAGGAGAATCTGGCCTTAGGCACTTGGGGATCTTACCTTCCTCATACTCACAGGGGAATGAGTCATCCTGGCACTGTCTGAGTGGAAAGGCCCTGGATGCCCTGCAGGATCCTTCCTGTCATGGGCTCTTTTCAGTTGCAAAATTTCCCAGAAGGGAGGTCAGGTGGGTGGTTGGGAAGAAGTGAGGTGGAAATGGGTCCAAAGCTCATTAGAGGGAACAAATGATAGATCAGGAGAATTATGTAACTTTTAGAGGCCACAAAAAAGTTGGAACAGATCCACCCGTGGACTTGGAGGCCAAGTTTGGGAAAGAAGTAGAAGCCCTTCACAGTGCTCCAAGGGCGCAGAGGCACTGAGGACTTATAGATTATGGTGAGTGTACTGCCTAGGGCAAACTGATAAACAGGTAACCTCAGACGCTTTTTCAGGCCGCCATAACCTTCACTCTCTCCCCAGGAACTCTGGCCCTGCCTGTTGCTACTGCTGCTGCTGCTGCCGCCGCCGCTGCTGTGCTCCTCGGAGGTCATGCCAGAGCCCTGCGAGTTGGACGATGAAGATTACCGCTGCGCCTGCAACTTCTCGGATCAGCAGGCCGACTGGTCCAGCGGTTACCAGTGTATGGCTGCTGTCGAGGTGGAGGTCCGTGGGGGCGGCCGCAATCTTGAGGAGTTTCTAGGGCTCGCAGATACCGACCCGAAGCAGTATGCCGACATGGTCAAGGCTCTGCGCGTGCGGCGGCTCACCGTGGGGGCTGCCCGGGTTCCTGCCCGGCTCCTGTTCGCCGCACTGCGTGGGCTTGGTTACTCCCGCCTCAAGGAACTAACTTTTGAGGACCTGGAGGTAACTGGCACGTCTCCGCCGCCGCCACTGGAAGTCACCGGGCCGGCGCTCTCCACTCTCCGCCTCCGCAACGTGTCGTGGGCCACAGGTGGTGCCTGGCTGGCCGAGCTGCAGCAGTGGCTCAAGCCGAACCTCAAAGAACTGGCTATTGCGCAAACACACCCATCTGCCTTTTCCTGCGAGCAGCTCCGCACCTTCCCGACTCTCACCACTCTAGACTTGTCCGACAACCCTGCACTGGGCGAGCGCGGGCTGGCCGCGGCTCTCTGTCGGCACAAGTTCCCGGCCCTCCAGGATCTCCGGCTGCGCAACGCGGGAATGGAGACGCCTACCGGTGTTTGCGCAGCGCTGGCGGCGGCGGCTGTGCAACCCCACCGCCTAGACCTCAGCCAGAACGCGCTGCGCCCCACCGCAAACCCCAGAGCCGCGGGGTGCGTCTGGCCCAGCGCCTTGAGCTCTCTCAGTTTATCGTTCGCTGGGCTGGAGCAGGTGCCTAAGGGACTGCCGGCCAAGCTCAGCGTGCTGGATCTCAGCTGCAACCTGCTGAACAGGGCGCCACGACCAGATGAGCTGCCCCAGGTGGAAAACCTGGTACTGGACGGAAATCCCTTCCTGGACCCTGGAGTCACCAACCCTCAAGAGAGCTCACAGAACTCAAGAGTAACCAGAATTTGTGGGCGCTCCCCCGTGGCACAGGGATAACAGGCATCCTGTCGCTGCTCCAAGAGGCCCCACGCTTCACCTAAGGCCCCGGGAGAAAGGTGAATGTTCAATGGGCTCATTTTGCTCTGTCTCAGAGGGAGCCTCAGGAAGCATCGACAAAACAAACGTCTTTATTAAAATCTTAAACAGCGAATTAGTGTTATTCATTCAGTAGCCCTTTACTGGATGTGTAGTGTGGACCGGGCTGTGAATCTATCCTACTTAGAGTTTCTTTATTCTAACTCCCTGGGGAGCTCTGGTAGCATCGTGGCTAAGGCACTTGACTGCTAACCAGAAGGCTGGAGGTTCAAACCCACCAGCCACTCCTCGGAAGGAAGGTTGGGCAATCCTACTTCCGTAGTGATACTGCCTCGGAAACCCAAGGAGGGGTCGCTATGAGTCGGGGCCGACTCGACGGCAAACAACAACAGTTACCCTAACCCCCAGCCCCAAGGAAATGACTACAGGGGCAGATGGGGCAGGGTTAAAGTCATCTGGGGAGGTAAACAAGCTACATGAATTTCTGCACAGTCGGGGTTTTCTGAGCAGAATACTGGCACCTGGATCAATAGATATTTGAATGGTAAACATTCCTGGAAGATACACAGTGTTTCCTCTCTGATGCATTCCCAGAACCATCCATTCCCAGTCAAGGGTAATAAAGCCTTGAGCCAAACACACACACACACACACACACATATTCTCTCTCCCCTATTCCCCAAGAGGGGAAGGGCAAGCTGTACCACCTGTCCTTATAAACTCTGAGTTTCATAATTTCAGGGGTCCTCTCCTGGGAGTTCTGATGGCATAGTACCTAAGGCATTTGACTGCTAACCAGAAGGCTGGCAGTTCAAACCCACCAGCCACTCCTTAGAAGGAAGATTGGGTGATCTACTTCAGTGGTGATACCGCCTCAGAAACCAAGGAGGGGTCACTATGAGTCGGATCTGACTCGATGGTACTGAGGTTTTTGTTGTTGTTGTTGTTTTTCTCCTCTGGTGTAAACACCCTCTGCACACACAGGTACCCTGGCTGTTACCAAGACACCTCATGGAAAATTGGGACATGGGGAGCTGATGCAAGCTGCTCTGGGATTAAACAGTCGGTCTCTGAACGAGAGATGTGTTTCTGTTAGTATGTATGTGTACAACTATTGCAGTCTGTCTTTTTGACTTGCAAATAAGGTAACATCTCAGACCCTTTACAGCTTCAGATGTAACAGTATGGGCTCTCTATAAACCACATTAACTTAGAGAAGCAGAAAGGCAGGCAAGGGGTGCTGTTCCTTCTGTGAGTTCCATCTTCATTATATTGACGAGGCAGCTACATCCATCAGAAAGCTAGACATCTGTCTCATAGAAGACACAGAAGAGAGATGGAAGAGATACATAAGCCCGACCCTGCTTGCTGCGTCCCTATGCCATCCAGAGCCCCACAGGTAAGAATGCAGTATATTAAAAAAAAAAAAAAAGAAAAGAAAAATTGATGAGAAGGTTACAAAGGTCACCAGATTACACATTGTTGATATGTGCTGATTTGCTGTTGAGTTGGCTCCAATCATAGTGACCCTAGGTACAACAGAATGAAACAATGCCCTGTCCTATGCCATTCTCACAATCTTTACTCTGCTTGAGTCCATCGTTACAGCCACTGTGTTGATACATCTTGTGGAGGGTCTTCCCTTTTTTCTCTGACCCTCTACCAAGCATGATATCTTTCTCCAAGGATTGGTTTCTTCTGAGCAAAGTGCATGAGATGAAGTCTGGCCATTCTTTTTTGTAAGGAGCATTCTGGCTGTACTTTTTCCAAGATTTGTTCTTTCTTTTGGCAGTCCTTGGTATTTTCAGTATTCTTCACAAACACAATTCATATGCATCAATTCTTATTGTTGTTGTTGTTATGTGCCCTCCAGTAGGCCCCCAACTCATAGCCACCCCTCCTCATTATTCAGCTTTCATATGCATATGCAGCTGTTGAAAATACCATGACTTGAGTCAGGCACACCTCAGTCTTCAAAGTGACATCTTTGCTCTTAAACACTTTTTATATTTACTTAAATTTTTATTGTGATTTGGTTGCAAGTTTACAGAGCAAATTAATTTTCCATACAGTAGTTCATACATGTTTTGTTTCATTACATTGACTGCAGTTCCCCACAATGTAACAGGTCTCTTCCTACTTGCTCCCTGTAGTTAACTCTTTCCTGTGTCCTTCCCTCCCATGCACTCCCACTCCCTAACCTGTCTCCCTGCGCAAACACTGCCCTTCTGTTCTTTCATGATTGATTGTTCCAATGAGTGTGTCTATCTGATGTAAATATTCACCCCATATGCCTGTCTATTGTTTGGCTGGAAGCCATAGGAGTGAGTTCAGTTCCAGAGCTGAAGGGTTACTAGGGGCCATAGTCCCAGGTGTCTCACCAGGCTCTACAAGACCAACAAACCTGGTCTTTTTTAGGATTTTGAATTTTGTTCCACATTGTTCTCCCATTCCATCCAGGATCTCCTGTACTGATCCCCTTCTGAGTGGTTGACAGTGGTAACCTAGCACCATCTAGTTCTTCTGGTTTCATGGTCATATAGGCTGAGATCACATGGTCCACTAGTCCCTTGGACTAATTGTTTCCATGTGTCTTTAGTCTTCTTCATTCTTCTTTGCTCTGGATGAAGAGAGACCTATCATTACTTCTAGATGGCCGCTTGCAAGCTTTTAAGACCCCAGACACTACTCACCAAAGTAGGAAGTAAAACAATGTTTTTGTGTAGTATATTATACCAATTGAGCTTGATGTGCCCTGTGACAATGGTCCCAAGCCCACAGGTCCCAATTACACCCTCAAGGTAGCTGGTCGTGGCCTAGAAGCCATCACAAACTTGTCCCTTGTCAGCTCTACTATATACCCAGACATTCTTACAGCACATATAAATACACTTATAGAAACATCATCTGCCAACACTATATATGGTCCTGAGCACACTGTCCCCTGCCTAGACATACCTGATCATTCAGCCCATCCACCCATCTGTCCACCCATAGATCAAGGCTTGCCATCACTGACAATGCCGTACTGTACATGCCAAAGAGTTCATCTTTGTTGTCTGTACCGCCCACATGTTTCTCTATGTCTTCCTCTTCCTTAATTTCACTGTGTTGATCACTCTCTTTTGGTACATTGCCCTTCCCTTCACCCAAAGTAATACTTGTCTTTACCTATCCAGCAATGCTCTTAAACACTTTAAAGAGGTATTTTGCAGCAGATCTGCCCAGTGTAGTGTAGTACAACATCTAATTTCCTGACTGCTGCTTCCCTGGGTGTTGATTGTGGATTTAAATAAAATGAAGTCCCTGACAACTCCAATCTTTTCTCATTTATTGTGCTTACTGGGAGCTCTGATGGTATAGTGACTAAGGCATTTGACTGCTAACCAGAAGGCTGGCAGTTCAAACTCACCAGCCACTCCTTGGAAGGAAAGTTGGGCAATCTACTTCCATAGTGATACCACCTCAGAAACCGAAGGAAGGGTCACTATGAGTCAGATCTAACTTGATGGAAGTGTGTTTGGTTTTGGTTTGTTTTTGGTCCAGTTGTGATGATTTTTCTTTTCTTTATGTTGAAGTGTAATCCATACTGAAGTCTCTGATCTTCATCAGTAAATGCTTCAAGTTATCTTCACTTTCAGTAAGCAAAGTTATGTCATCTGCATATTGTAGGTTGTTAACTAGTCTTCCTCCAATCCTGATGCCATGTTCTTCTTAATATAGTACAGCTTCTCAGATTATTTGTTCAGAGTACAGAGTGAATAAGTATGGTGAAAGGATACAATCCTGATGCACATCTTTCCTGATTTTAAACCACTCAGTATACCCTTGTTCTGTTTGAATGATGGCCTCCTCTCTATGTACAGGTTCCTCATGAGCACAAGTAAGTTTTCTGAAATTCTCATTCTTTGCAATGTTATCCATAGTTTGTTATGACCCACACAGTTGAATACCTTTGCATAGTCAATGAAACATAGGTAGACATCTTTCTGGTATTCTTTGTAATTTTAAGAATCTTAGAAGATGGCTAATTTGCTTTCCAACCTGAGCCAGGAAACCCCACTTGAGTATTCCTAAGGGTTCTTTATCCAGCCCATTGAGATATATCTAGAGGCAAAGCATGTTTCATCTCCAGGCATTTTCTTGCACTGGAATACCTCTGACCACTCTTCATTACAGCACTAAGGAGCCCCTGCTCCACATCAGGCCTTATGCTAGGAGTCTGGTATACCAAGGTGAATCAGAAGCCTCCATGCCCTCAGGAAACTCTCATCCAGTAAGGGAGAAGACAAATAAAAGATACCTGTTGTGGTAGTTATATTTGTATGTCAACTTGGCTGGGCCTGGTTGAGTGGCTGGACAGCTGGTGGTAGTTATTCCCCATGATGAGACTAGCAATCAACTCCATGGTGGGATCCACCACAAGCAGCTGAATAGCTGTCTTTGGGAGGTGGTCTGCTTCCTGTATATAAGGAGAAGCCTTGGGGATAGTCTCTAGTTTAGACCCTGCATGTAGCCATGTTGTTGTTCAGTGGCCTGCCATGCTCTGCTGACCTTGGGACTTACAATGGACTTGAATTAATGGCCTGTTTTGTGGTTTGGTAACATTGGGACTGTGCCATTTTATTTGTTGACCTTGGGCTTGTTAGCCTCAGCAGCCAGTAGCTGCCTGAGTGAAGAAAAGCCTCTAGCTCCAGTAGGCCAGGAGCAAGAGGCAAGGTTGAGGGGCTTTCACTCAGCCCCTAGAGCCTGGCACTTTGAACTTGCTCAAACTTCTAGCCTCCTGAACTGTAAGATAATAAACTCCTGTTTGTTAAGGCCATCCCATTTGTGGTATATTCTTGTCAGAGCGGCACTAGGTAACCAAAACACCTGTGCTTCGATGAGAGGGAGGACCTAGGAAAGTCTTAGAGAAAAGGAAACATTGAATTTGGTCATAAAAAACAAATGTAAGTTCTATA